CTGCTAGCCCCGTTGTTCACACTCTCTGTTCTGTATTATTCCCGGTAGTCAAGTCTCATTATTAATAATGATAAAAACACTTTACCCTCGGTTTGCAACACCTATGGTCTCTCTGCTGAGTGAATTCTTCTATGTCCTGTGAGCATACTTGAATGTGGAAATGTTTTCCCACAGTCCTGACATTCGAAAGGTCTGTCTCCTGTGTGAGTTCTTCTATGGACAGTGAGGGCACCTGAATGTGTAAATGTTTTCCCACATTCCTGACATTCGTAAGGTCTCTCTCCTGTGTGAATTCTTCTATGTATCTTGAGGTACCTTGAGTGTGGAAATGCTTTTCCACATTGCTGACATTCGTAAGGTCTCTCTCCTGTGTGAACTCTTCTATGTTCAGTGAGTTGATTTGATTGTGCAAATGTTTTCCCACAGTCCTGACATGCGTAAGGTCTCTCTCCTGTGTGAATTCTTCTATGTGACGTGAGGTGCCTTGATTGTAAAAACTTTTTCCCACAGTCCGGACATTCGTAAGGTCTCTCTCCTGTGTGAATTCTTCTATGTTCAGTGAGGTGACATGATTGTGCAAAGGCTTTCCCACAGTCCTGACATTCGTAAGGTCTGTCACCGGTGTGAACTTTTCTATGTGCAGTGAGGTGATGTGAGTGGAGAAATGTTTCCCCACATACCTTACATTCGTAAGGTCTTTCTCCTGTGGGAGTTCTTCCAGGTGATGTGAGCGGACTTGACAAGGTCAATGCTTTCCCAGCTTCCTGACATTCGTAAGGTCTCTCTCCTGTGTGAATTCTCCTATGTTCAGTGAGCTGACGTGATTGTAAAAATGTCTTCCCACATTCCTGACATTCATAAGGTCTCTCTTCTGTGTGGAATCTTTTATGTTTTTTGAACACACGTGATTCTGAAAATGTTTTCCCACATTCCTGACATTCATAAGGTCTCTCTCCTGTGTGAAGTCTTCTATGTACAGTGAAGTTATCTGATCGCGAAAATCTTTTCCCGCAGTCCTGACATTCGTAAGGTCTCTCCCCTGTGTGAATTCTTCTATGTAGCCCGAGCAGACTTGACCGGGTAAATGTTTTCCCACAGTCCTGACATTCGTAAGGTCTCTCTCCTGTGTGAATTCTTCTATGTACATTGAGGTCACTGGATTGGACAAAGGTTTTCCCACAGTCCTGATATTCATGAGGTCTCTCTCCTGTGTGAACTCTCCGATGTACAGTTAGGATATTTGCTCGTGAAAATGTTTTCCCACAGTCCTGACATTCATAAGGTCTCTCCCCTGTGTGAACTGCTCTGTGTGAAGTGAGGCGACCTGATGGAGAAAAGGTTTTCCCACCGTCTGTACACTGAACAGGTCTCTCTCCTGAGTGCACTTTGGCATGGAGAGTTAAAAGACAAAGCCGAGGAAAGGTTTTCCCACACTGGTGACACTCATAAGGTTTCTCATCTGTATGTGTTCTCTCATGTCTCCTCAGGCATGACAAAGAGCGCAAAGATTTTCCACATACCTTACCATTATAAGGATTCTCTACACTGTCAATGTTTCTGTTTCCTGTGCTGTCTGAAGTACTAGTAAGGGGGGCAGATGAAGAAAAGAGTTTCCCCTTTTCAATACACTCATAAAGCTTTTCTAGAAAATTAAATGCTTCTTTGGAAACTAAAGGGAAAGGATTCCTGCAGGTCTCAGCACATTCTGTAGGTTGATGTTCATCTACCACATGGATCCAAAATGAAGAGAAGGTACAGAAATCTTTGCCACATTTCTTACATTCATGGCCGGTGTCACCAAGGTCAGTCCTCAACAGGTTTACGTCAACACGGTTGCGGGAATAACTTGGAAATCTGACGCACATGTCCCCAGGGTGAGTGTCTTCAATCCCTTCACACACCTCCTGTACTGTTTGACCTCTGGGAAAAATAAACAGCACACAGTTGTAACTCAGGGTGTTCCTGTATGCCGACAATTAAACCAAATGAAGATGTGTGGGTATAACATCTCTGAGTCTCACATGACTTCATTTACAAAGATATGATTCCTAGAACTGCACTTATAAATCTTATTACACTTTCAGAAACCTGTTTCCAAAGTCACAATGTTTAGCACGAGTATTTCTTGTGTTTTGTTAATGGTCTGCTTTTTTTTGTTTTTTATGATACTCACCTCCAGTAGTTCTCTCGGATTTTATGTAGATGTTCTTTGCCACACAGTTTTACCATTTTCTGCAACATGGAAGACCAAGGGTGGGTCGTCTCAAAGAATGTCAGCTGAGTACATTCAGGGGATAATGCTTCTCCGTCATTGACGTGGTCAAGGCCTGCTATATAACAAAAATAATTCTGACAACACAGAAAGAAAAGAAAGCGACAGACATCTGGCTGCTCTGAACCAACAGTCACGCGGGCACCTCTTTGAGTTTCAGCACTCTGACCCTGGATGGTAAACTGTTCGCTACGAATCCCTTCTGAAACAAATCAAAGGCATGATGATATAAATGAGTTTCCCCTGGGTGGATAATTACAGAGATGACTCACACAGCACACACGACATCACACAGAACAGTACACACATGACAATGCACAATGTAATGTGTACACACACAATATCACAAGGGACTCACATAACATGACACGGCACATATATCACAGGAAAAACAGAAAAATGGCTCTAGGACAGGCCGGGTGATGCAGAAAAGAGTGTCCAGTGATCTCGTAATTTGTAACAACCAGCCAAAAAAAAAGCCATTTTTTTTTCCAACTGGCTCATGAAAATGTCTATTTCTCAATTGGCAAAAGATCCATAGCATAGTAACGATTGCATAGAGCTTCTCCACACAGGAGCCTTAGAGAATTAGGCGGCCTAGTGGCAAGAATCTGTGCTGGAAACCCAAAGGCACGTGGTTCGAATCCACCAGATGCTGTGGTGGAGCAGGAGGGGCCATCTCCTCCTGTGCCAGTCGGATCCAATTTGGAAGAAGACCACCACCACCACAAGCACAGAAGAGCAACAAATGAGTGTTCTAGCCCACGTCCAAAAAGACTAGTCCTTGAATCGGACGCAAAAAAGTTAGGGTGTACACTTAGGAAAGTTCATAGATCTAAATTCACTGAATGACAGAAGAGAAAAGGAGCTACCAGACACAGACGCTTCCATGAAGAAATCCTTT